AAACTCGGGGACTGTGCCTACCTGATGAGCCCCAAGAAGGGCGAAATCGGTCGTGGGCTGTCGAAGAGTTTTCAGCAACCTTGTGAGTAGTTTCCTTTACGAAAACATCAAAGCCTTGTTTACTGAACCAGATAGCTATATGCAACCTTGGAATTTCAAAGATTTTGACAATCCCGGTGAAACAGATTGTCACATGACTGAAAGGGGGAAAGAGGAGCTTTCTGGTTGTCTCAGTCGATCGTTTCCAAAGGCAGGCTTATGAAACGACAGTCGAAACCCAATTGTTTATAAAATCCAGCTTTAGGTAGGCTTGGCTCACCAGAATTCAACCCTTCTGGTTCAGAGTAGAACACCCGTAGCTGACTGGCTGTTATTTAATCTGCGGTTGGCTCATTTGATACACTTTGTGATGAAACTATTTTTAAAAAACAATGTTCTTCAAAGTCAGAGTTTTCCAGCCTACTGTTAAACCAAAACAATGTCATTTGAGAGAAATACACCATTTACAAAATCAATTTGGTTCCGCGAGAGACTCATCTGAATCTCTCGTTTATGATATTCTCGAAAACAGTCCAATTTGGGTTCAAATAGATCATGAGGTTGATGGTGGAAGGGGACTGTGCCTACCTGATGAGCCCCAAGAAGGGAGAAATCGGTCGTGGGCTGTCGAAGAGTTTTCAGCAACCTTGTGAGTAGTTTCCTTTATGAAAAGAGGATGTTCTGTTTCGGTTGTTAGAAATTTTGTTGTCATCCGTGTCGAGTTAATCCTATCACTACCTTCAATGACCTTGACACTGCAATTACAATTCACACAATCAACCATAACTTGGCTGGACCTTAAACATCTCCCCGGATTGTTGATTAGCCCCTCCAGAAGATCGACTTTTCTGTGCTACCTGGGTGCATGTTTCACTGTTGTGTTAGTTAGAAAGCAAGGAACCTCTGTTGTCGGAAGTCATTTCCCGTAAACGGTTACTACCATATCAACGGTAAGGGTATCCTTCATACCCCCAAGTTCACAGTCCCATGACTGTGTCGATGTTTTGTTGTCTGGGCTGATGAGATGTCGAATAATCTGAATGTGATCGCGCGATTCATGATTTTTTACCGAGTGACGCATTCGAACGACCTCATGGCCGATTTGAGCGATACAAAGGCATCGTTTTCAAGGACCTTTGTGATTATACTGGCGCATGATTTTTCAGTCAGAAATGCTTGAAACGTTTCCGGGGATTTCTAACTTCATGGAGAAAAATCTTTACGATACAAAGCAACCTTCCACTGTCATTACGATTTTTTTAATTAAAAGGGCTCCAGCGAGTACCCATAAACTGTTGCCTGGATTCAGCCTACCACGGTTGACTTTCTGGTCTCTGTCTCACCCTGGTTCGCAGATATTGGAGCTCAGCTAAAAAAGAAAACTTAGTTATTAGCCTCCGAATGACTGACGTTGAAAATTTCATTCTTGCATACACCATGACACTTTCTAGTCTAAGCCAATGAAGACGCTAAAGAAGATCAATACGAACAAATCTTGTCACATAAGGCCTTTGGTTCTTATCAAATTGATGGAACAACCTAGTACCGAATGTCTTGTGACGTATCACTGACTAGTTGTCACAACTGATTGAACCGACCGAAAGAGCCACATGACCAAGAGTTAACACACTACTCTTAAAGTTGCTGAAAGATCTTGGGCAGCATTTCTTGGGGTTCATCATGTAGGAGCGTTCCCCGGGTTTCCGTCAACTTCATGTTCTACTTGAAGGGGGGCATCATAAACCAGAAAGTCAGCAGGATTTAGCTGAGCATTTCGTCGAAACCAAAGTAGTTTGCAAATGAGTAGTGTTGCCACAATTTAACTCTATCTGTTCTGTTAAGTCATCTATTGAAGACTTTTAAATCACGTGTGAACTTGTTGTCGCTTTCATGCCCTTGTACTTATAGTTTCCTATGCACCACAATTGTCATGTACCCGGACCGATGCTCACGTGACCTACGATAAGCAGGTCAATCCCGATTTGAACACAAGCATGATTACTTTGGTTGGACAAGTTCCGGTTGGTTGCCAGTTTCGGGTTGCCGACAACGGTTCACACATTGAAGCAATCATTCCCTTAGAAGGCTGTGGAGGCAGTCTCTCCCTAGTAAGTTGTCTTAGCCTCGTCATCTCTCTTCAACATAAATTGTGACATACGGGCTTTTTTCATCACCATCTGGTTTGTTTCTTGTGACGTATCACTGACTAGTTGTCACAACTGATTGAACCGACCGAAAGAGCCACATGACCAAGAGTTAACACACTACTCTTAAAGTTGCTGAAAGATCTTGGGCAGCATTTCTTGGGGTTCATCATGTAGGAGCGTTCCCCGGGTTTCCGTCAACTTCATGTTCTACTTGAAGGGGGGCATCATAAACCAGAAAGTCAGCAGGATTTAGCTGAGCATTGCGTCGAAACCAAAGTAGTTTGCAAATGAGTAGTGTTGCCACAATTTAACTCTATCTGTTCTGTTAAGTCATCTATTGAAGACTTTTAAATCACGTGTGAACTTGTTGTCGCTTTCATGCCCTTGTACTTATAGTTTCCTATGCACCACAATTGTCATGTACCCGGACCGATGCTCACGTGACCTACGATAAGCAGGTCAATCCCGATTTGAACACAAGCATGATTACTTTGGTTGGACAAGTTCCGGTTGGTTGCCAGTTTCGGGTTGCCGACAACGGTTCACACATTGAAGCAATCATTCCCTTAGAAGGCTGTGGAGGCAGTCTCTCCCTAGTAAGTTGTTTTAGCCTCGTCATCTCTGTCCAACATATATTGTGACATACGGGCTATTTTCATCACCATATGGCTTGTTTGGTTGAAATCTTTATTTCCTCACACAAACGAAGTTTCCATTAGGCTCTGTCGAATTCCGTGTGATATGTGGATTGGTACTGCCTTGACACACGTTGTACTCGACAAACTTCGGTTTTACCGACATTAGGTAGGGCGAATCTCCTGCCTCTGTGCTCTAGAGATAATTCTTCTGCCTCCCTCGTTCCGACTGTTAGTGAAACCTAATATTCAATTTTTTCGGGCCGATTACCGAGTCTCCAATTAGCTTGAATTATCGACCGAAAAACTCCCTTCCAGTCGTGCCATATGGTGAGGTAGTACCTATCGGGTATATGCAATGTAGTAAGTATCATTATAAGAAAATATTGCTGAGAAATCGACGTGTACAGTTGGTCATATCTGGGCGCATTTTTAATGGCTATTGATCTGCCGAGGTGTTGTCCATATTCCCAATGGTTCTGATATGATTATTCGCTAAAACTGTAAACGAGTTACCGATTTTTATAATCATACTGAGTTTAGCCACTCTCCTGTTTGTTGAACAATCTCAGTATACTGCTATTGTCAGAAGTGGGGGTGGGGTAACCAAACGGCGTTGCTCCTTTATTAAAGAATTCTGCTGGTCGCCTGAAGCCCCAAATGGCACAGCGAATCAAAACAGGACAAGCTTAAACGATGTTGTTTTGGTTTACCAGTGCGCCGGAAAACTCTGAATTTCAAGAACTTTGACGTTTTTTTTACAAATAGTTCCATCACAAAATGTGCCAAATGAGTCAACCGCAAACTAAATAACAGCCAATCAGCTACGGGACATAAGGATTGAATTCTGGTGAGCCAAGCCTACCTAAAGCTGGATTTTATAAACAATAAGGTTTTGACTGTCATAAACGTTTCATAACCTTGTCTTTAGAAACAATCAACCGAGACAGCAAGCAAGTTCCTCTTTCCCCCTTTCAGTCATGTGACAATGTAATCGGGAATGTTAGAAACTTTGAACTTCCAAGGTTGAACATAGCTGGTTTAGTAAACAAGGCTTTGCTGCATTTAGTGGACATACTGCCATCACTGAAAGACGAAAACCGTCGAGTTGCTCTACCTGCCATCGAGACTGAACACACAAAGGGAACTAACAACACATTTTACACACTTTTCGAGTACTTGTGACATATTACTGACATTCAAAAAGCCGGATCTGTAAACACGACCACCGTACTTGACTGGACAGACCGTAACAGATAAGGAAGTCCGATAGTGGCAAATATGTTAGGCCAGCGCGCGTAATACAAAGCTTTTCTACTGATGAGCTACGTGGCGTTAGTTTCTCCTGTGGTTCGATTCACCACTAGATTTATGAATGAAATAATTAGGCTTGAATTAGCCGCCAGATACAATACAAGGCCAAAATTTTGACTGTCCACAGAATTGAAGTTAGAGTGTGGTGGCTTAGTACCCAAACGTTTGAAAGCGGACATCACCAAGGGGAGAGGAGTATTTGGCGTCTTCTGATTCGGCTTTCGTTTCCCGTTGGGACAAGGTCTAAACTGATGAAATTCTGCTGCTTATACTTCAGAGACTGTTTCTCTCTCCATGGTTCTCTTTCCTTTAGAGAGTCACGTGATTTTGGGGCTGTTTGCATTGTCACCGAATACGACAGCAAAAAATTGTCGTCGTGGCTTCTTCTGAGTGGATTTTATCAGGTGTTGGTTTGTTTTGAGAGGTAATGGGGGAATACCTTGCAGTATCGGTCACAGTGCAATCCAGCGAACTGAGATTTAGAGTATGAACTAACGGAAAGACTGCTTCGTCCCATCCGATAATCAACCTTATTACATTGGAATTCACGAAATTTGTTCAATTTTTGCACTTCGTTTGTATCTCGAGTTAGTTCTGGCACTGGGAGTCGAAATGGGCGCTTGAAGACCACACAACAAATCAACAAACCAATTTGACACGTACAGAAGCAACATACTACTCATAAGGTTGCTGAGACCACCTCGGCTCTTCAAGGGATCTCAGCAACCTTATGATGCAATTTATTGCGACGTCTCAAATATTGCGTCAACTGAAACATGAGGCGGACTGGTACGGCAAATTCAGTTGAAAAATACAGCACAGACAAGAGATACAGTTGGATTTCAGGCCAGTTTTCCTTGAAAGCTAAATGGGTATGCGAATGAGTGTATTAGTCAAACTTGTGATGTCTCTTATGCAGCACCCGGTAACGTGTACCAAACCCAGGGCTCTTGTAAACAAAAATCTGACCGACCGATCAATATACATTGATACCGACACACTGTGTTGATCAACGTTTTCGACCAACTTGTCCAGTGCGGGATTTTTTCATGTATCTAACAAGCGTTATTGGTAGGCTCGTCAAGGACAATGTTCTGCGGTTTTCTGAACTTTGATTGCATTGTAACCAATGCCATATCCACCACGTTGCTCGGCCCCGTAGATATCGATTTTATCTAGGTTTGTGTTTGAAACAAGGATCCAGTTCATTCGGCCGAACATATTGACACATGATTCAACGGTCTAACAAGTTCCATGATTAACTTGTGGATTTTCCAGTCAGTGGCTCTCACAAGTTCGTCGACATTGGGTCATGACTTGTAAAGAAGGACAGATTAGTTGTGCTCGGAATCGTTTCAGCCTTTGATGTTGGGTGGAGTCCTATTCAGCCAAAAGCGAACATGAATGACATCTCAAACCATACTAGTGAAAGGAAGACGGTTTTCGCTGCGGAGTCGATTATTCGAAAACACCAACTGAACAGTTACAGACTATTGGACAGGGAAGCAAAACTCTCATGTGCATCTTGTTTATAAACACTTTGCAGCCGTCTTCCTCTCGAACGAATCTTTCCGAACTTTCCTGAAAACACACTGACTATCACTCAAACGTAACCGAATGCTACAAAGTGACTCCACAAATTCCGCTCCATTAGACGTGGAGCGGGCTATCAAAGAGCCACATACTACTCGCAAGCTTCATCAGTAGCATCCACCGTTACACTAATAGGACGAAACAGAATGTCAGTACACATGTGGCATGGCACTAGGTGTATCACTTGTTCACGGCTCAATGATTTGCTAAGCCTTAGTATCGTATTATCTGCAACGATTCAACGAACACCTGTTTGTCTTAAGAGACATACTATGAACTTTAAACTCCAAATTTCTAAATGCCTTGAACAATAATAAAAACGAAGAAGAGAGTCTTGACAACTAATAAGGGATTGACACTTCTAGTACAGTTCCATTACATTGCCCTCAGCAATGTTCGAATTCGCAGGTTCTCTATCGAATCATAGTACTGAAATGAAACTCTGTGATCTCAAGTGGGGTGGCCGAGTAATTCTTCCTTTGGGAAAAATCAACCCATACTTTGCAGTTTTCTTTCCATTAAAAGCATCTCACCATAAATGATGTAAGAGCATGGGACGGCTAGGAAGACGGTGAACACCTTGTTCAGTGTTCAACGTGAACCCGGTTGGCAGAAATTTCTTCTTAGATGGAAAGATGATAGCCGCAAATCTGAGATCCGATTTATAGTTTAAGGAGCCGAATTATGACGTTACCACATACTTCACTTGTGTACAGTGCCACTTCAGTTCAATCAAACCCAGTGGACATCATTTGACATGCGAACTAATCCAACAGTAAGGTTGATGGTGGTGTTTAGTGGTACAGGTTCCAGAATTTCACAATGTGGGTACTTAAGTACGTGGAAAATATTTACAAAACTTTTCAACGCTGCAAACTCTCAGGATACGGTCAAGGTTGGCCTGCTTCTGCTCGATCTGAGACGTGGCCACTGGCCAGTTTTACTGACGCCCTTACTGTCGACGTGCATTTGGTCTGGAATGTGGAGTTAAAGGAATTAGGCTGATAACCGGCAAATTTTTCCCTCATATTCTTTCCATCTGAGGACAGTGTTCGAACACACTGATAGGGTTATTCAGCTACCATAGGACAGTCCTCTCAGACGGTATAAAAATTTCGAAGTCAAAATTGTTCAGCTGTAACACCCTCACAGTTGTTAAGTCTCCCGAAGGAAGCGCGAGGGCTGGGGTACTGCGAGGTTGCCAAAGACTAGACAGGGGAAGTCGAGTGGCAGATGTCGGGTTCGAACCACGGGCCTTCTGGTCAGTAAATTCGAGCTCTAGCCACTGAGCCATCTCGCCCCGATCGATCACGTGAGCCATCTCAGACGGCACATCAGCCAGCGAATACATTGACCAAGACGGGAATGGAGGACGTATAAAGCGGATTGTGATAGAGGTGGCTACAGGCCACATTGCGAGATGGCTCAGTGGTTTCAGCGCGAATTTACTGACCGGAAGGTCCGTGGTTCGAACCCGACATCTGCCACTCGACTTCCCCTGTCTAGGCTTGGGCAACCTGGCACTATCCCAGCCCTCGTGCTTCCTTTGGATGGCATGGCAGTTAGGCACCGAAAGGGTGCTACAGCTGAACGAAGCCACATTGTAGAGAAGCCATATAACCATGAGAAGCCATGTAGCTCTCATGAAAGTGTGTCAACCGAAAAATTGTAATTACGCTATGTTCAGACTGGTTTAATGATTGGCCATCCTGCAAACTATGTCTTAAAACGGTAACCGCTCAGACCACAATGTGATCAACAAAGTCTGCGGTTCATAATAGTGAATTAGCTTTGCGTAGTGTGAAGTGCGGATAAAAGTGTACGTTGTCCAACCATCTTCTATAAGCATAAAAGGTCACGCACTTTACAGGAACGGGACAGACGGGGATTTCGTCTCCTAGGCATTTACGTAGTAACGCTGAACATGTCTTGAAATGAGGGAACTCGAAATCCAATCTATATAGGATATCTGAAATGGAAACTTTGGTGTCAGTTAGCAGTGGATTTGCTAAGAGTACGAACCCTTCTAGTTATCTATCGAAAACAACGTTCTGTGCGCAAAATTCAGTGAGTTTTGTCAAATGTGAGATTGTCTACTTCAGCAAAATACTTAAGGAAATGTCTGGGGAGCCAGTCCACGCAACAAGCAATGACATGACACCTGAAATCATTGATACTAGGCTTTTTAACTCATTGTTTCGTTTAGCAGTGAGTGAATAGCTTCATCATATGGCTAGACTTTAAAAAAATAGCCGAACGAGGAAATTAATCACTAAAGTGATTTTAACAAATTTGAAAGAAGGTAACCATGCATTCTCTTGTCTGGTACAGAGCTTTGCCACGGTTATTTCGGAGCAGTAGATTTCGTTTTTGCACTACACAGAAGAAAACTCGCTAACAGCACTGAAATATCTCCAGAACCGTACCGTGAGGTGGAACTAAGTCATTGAAGAAGTCATTTACTGTTCCTAATACTCGGAATTTCCGTTCCGTTCCTTCCCATTCCGTTGGCATACCAGTGTAACGGTGTATACTACTACTGACGAAACATATAAGTAGAACCCGATCAGGTGTCAAAGCGACGTCGCCAATGCTGATGGAAGGTTGACACACAGAATATGGATCCGGCATTCAGCGCCTGTTCATTGTTGTTTGATAATCAGAGAGAGTTCAGGAAAGTTTCAGGGGACACTTAAGGATATTCACTCCGCAGAAATGAGTTTTTAATTTCGTGTCAAATAGCTTGTAATCGCTTAATTCGTGTCGTTCATTGCGCAGCTGCGCAATGAAAGGTGTTTTCCCCTCCAGGTATATAAAGAATAAGTTTAAGCGCCGATAGAGCGCTCTCCTATTCTTAACATTCTCCTATGGTTTTGTTCTGTTCCATTACACCCTTCAAACAGACACGAAAAATTGACTCTAAGGTAGGGATTACAAGTTTATTTGGTTCACCACACAATTGATTGACGTAAATTTGTTTTAGTTTACGTTATGGTTGTGGTTGACTATTTGAAAAAAAACTTCATTTGCTTCCACATACAGAGCAACGAGTCTGACATTGCTATCAAATTTGAACTGCTTCGTGATTTTGTTGCGCCGTCTACCGGGATCATCTCAAACTTACCTGTGAGATTTTCCGTGACCTGTCTGATCCCACGCATAAATCGGATTCCGTCGGAAGTGATAGCATCTCCACAAGTGATCGCGGACTTGGTTGGTGCAACTCAGGAGGTTGAGGCCTCACTGAAGCTGTATCAGGATCCCGGGTGAGTTGCAAACTTGTACTCGTCGGTTGTACGCGAAAGTGATCAAGAAATCAGCCGGTTCGCACGTCCGTTGACTTTTTCTGGTTTGGCCAAGTGCACCAGGTTATCAATCGGCTATCCAGACCGGAGTTCACGGTACTAAGAAGGCATTAAGGAGACTGTGGTCCACAACAGGAACAAAGGGCAACGCGAGCTGTTGCGCCAAACCCCGGATAAATTTCAGTGTTTCTGTTCGAGTGCATTTTACAACTCTTTTCTCTGTGCTACGTTTAGGCTTTATACAGTGAACTATGCCGTCAAAATTTCACCTATTCATCGTTTGCTCTCCAACAACGCTCCATGTTCTTCTGAGATCGAAATAAGTTTTATCTATTCTCACTGTCCAGAGTTTTGGAAAATTCAGCAAGCTACTGACCTTCCATAAACCCTTGTGAGGTGCCTTACGTGGGCATCTACGAGATTAGCCACGTGGTCACTGTGTAGGTTGACTTCACGACGGCGCATCCTTTGTGTAGTTTGAGCGGTTGATATGTCAGAACAGAAGAATTACGTCCGAGACTAAATCCTTTTATGCTTAGGTTATTCGGAAACCAAATATCGTCTCATGCGTGATTCAGCTGTGTTTTGGAAATGCCTTCATTCGCCTAATCTGTCAGGCTCGGCAAGCTTCAGTATACTGCCGGTTTCCTAGACTCAAGTGAGCTAAAGAATCGAAAATATAAACAAGAGACAGCAACTCCAGCGACTGTATCAAGTCGTTGTCTGTCCTGCTCTAACTGTTCACCAACCCTAGTTTAGTTGATTGTGCCTAGTACCCGTTTCAAACATCTGAGCCTGGAAAACTAAATTTCCCATCCCGTCAATTCTGGTGAAATGCTCACCTACAAGCTCGTTGTCTGCTGTTAAATCTTGACATGGTGAAAAAGCCATCTTGACCAAATTTTTGGGTGCGCTTGGGGTTTGTTCAATGGAGAGGGGCATTCCTCTTTGGTGAGATACGTTTTTGCCATGTTTTTTGCTCACAGTTTAAAACTGTGCGCACAGACTTGTTCGGAGTGCAATTTATACGACCATCAAGACACATGAACCAATCAACAACTCCAAACTCCTCGACTTTCGAAGAAATAAAAATGAATTGAATGAACTGAAGTACGGATCTGCACTCTATTCGGGAAACCGGGAGGCATCCTCAACAGAGTTGATTGGGTTCGGTTTATCAAAGATGGACTCATAAATGCTCTCCTCAATGAGAAGTTGTTCTTTGAAGTTGTTCCAAACGGGGTAGGGACTGGATTCCGACCTCTGATCTAATTATTTCGGCGTTTAAGTGACTTCACGTTCTTTTCTAGTAGTCTGTTAGATTTTGTCTCCTTGACCCGGTAACTACCAGGATTTCCCCGTGATTGACCGCGGATGAGACGCATACCAGAGATGCTACACCTTGTATGAAGTGCTTGCTGAAGATATACACCATTGAAGAAGTAGCTTCTCACAAAAGCGATGGGACACACTCCATGTGCCTATCATGGCGGTCTTATGTGTACCCCGAATGCACACGTCAGAGGATTCGTAAGGTGCTTGTGTATGAAAACAATCGCTAGCAATTAGGTGTTAAGGCCATGTATCGATCGAAACGCGAAAAAAATCCACAATTCTGAATATCTGATGCATACTAGCTGGATTGAAACCATGACGATCAAACAGACGAAAAAACAGCAAATTGCCTAAAGAAACCAGCAGGCTGAAAACCTGTCACATAATATCACATATTTCGGTCTGGGCTGGGCTGCAGCAAAGATGTGAGAATAGAGGACTTGTCGTACAACAGTTATTGTCACAGAGTTACGAAGGCTGTCGACTCGCAGTTCAGGTCTCCAGCCGGTTATCACCATGGTCTACATGTCTATGGTATGTCTATGCTATGATGATCATTTCTCATCTGGTCTCGGATATGTGGTGCGATCGAAATCATCCTCTCAGGTTAGAAACGGTGAACACAATTCCGTTGTGGCGCTCCGGTCATCCTGGGATTTAGTGAGTGGAAGCGGTCTGTCGAATAGTAGAATCGCTTGCATATCGTCAGAACAGTTAGACAAAAGCCGTACGTGGTTGGTACAATGAACTTAGCCGGCGTCTGATTCCCACCGTCAACCAGACGTCGTCTGGTTTCTTGAAAACTGTTTTTTGTGCAAAAAATTCCCGTGTCTATCCCCACAGCTACAATGTGAGAGCAACTTACTCACTAGTTTAGCTGCGCAGCTACGGTTTCATTCTTAGAAAAACCGCCCTATACCAATTGGAATTTTATTTGTTAATAAGTTGCAGTGACTAAGTGGTACTAATCCTACCCGTTCCAGCTGCCTTTGTTAGAAAATCCGAAGCACGAACTTTCAAGTTTTCTTCCCACTCTCCGACCTGGGCGGTCGACTTGCTCAAACTTGTACTGATGGGCCTTCTGTGGGCATGAAGAAGAATGCAAGGGGGTTATTTCACGCTTTTTTCGTTGGTACATGATGATAGTTCTTTCTAGTATAAATAGAAAAGGTAGGTGCTCACTCGATACTACGCACGTGAGCTTTTTTGAGACTGCTTATAAAATGATTTACGTGGGATCGGCTGAGGGATCAGAGCATGAATGTCCTCACTTTCCGGTCCTTCTCAGTGTTTCTTCCACTGAAGTCGATGTTCGGGTCAAACGTAGTCGAATAAATCCGTTAGTTTAGTTCATTTATTCGCACCAACATGACTCATGGTTGACCACTGTCCGGAAACGTGGAGCTAAGCGCCTGGTCACGGGAGGAAACAAATGGGAGGAAGAACACCTTCGCTACGGAGTTATTTATTAGAAAATGCCAAGTGAACAGTTAC